TGTCCAACTTAGGAATCTTAAAAAACCTCTCCTCGTCTTTAAAGGGAAACCTTCTTTTCCATGTTTTAGGTCTGACCATTCTCCCTTCTACTCCTGAAAGATGAGGTCTTTTAGGGACTGGTGGAAGGGGAGCACCTTAGACTGGGCTTTGACAAGGCCCCTGTACATTTTGTCCTGTGCAAAGGCCTCTTTTGGAGGTTCAGGAATCTCCTCTTGGCGCAAATGGCCTGCAGGAGGCCCTCCAGATCTTCCAGGAAAAAATAGGTGTCTACCTGCCCTAACCTTCTCTGTTCCACTTCTTCCCCTGAGCTGCGATCTGACTTAGCTGGATCTATATCTTTTCCTCCTTCCTCCTCCCTAATCTGAGGGAGTTCCTGAGAAGATAGGAGAAATAAGCTTGCCCTCCCCCCCCCCTGGAGGCAAGACTTTCCTGTGAGGATGGGCCCTCCTTAGGTGCTGTCTCTTCTGGGCCTGGCTGCTGACCCATATAACAACATGGGTGGGGGTTTTTAACAGCTGGCCATTGACTGGGAGGAAGGAACCTATCATTTTTCATGCGTGCCATCCTGGACAATGAGTGGAGAAAAAGTACTTTAAAAATAATGTCATGAAACATTTTTATTAATCAATTGCCTGTGGCATATTAGCAATTTTATTAGGCACAACTGAATGCAGTTTCTGCAGAACTAGCATAGTACGCTCTTTCAAGGATCCTGGAGAACTGGCCAGAGTTCCAACATGAACTCTCTGCTTATTTTCTTCTGTCTCTGAAAGTAATTCCATGCTGGCTCAATTTTGAGATCAGGTCTCTTTGGGGGTCATGTGATCAGTTTTACACTTTTTTGCTGCAAATAGTTCTTTAATGTTTGGGCTCATTGTCATGCCGTAGGGCCTCCTTAATGCATGTATTTCTGAGCAACAATTCTGACCAAATCAGTAACCTCTGTCTAAGCCCCAATTTTTTATTTTTTTATTTTGAGTCATCAGTCCAGAGAGCCTGCTACTACTTTTCTTCAACCCACTCATGTTTTTAAGCATAGGTGAGGCATTTGGATTTGTTTCCACCTCAGCGGAAACTTAATAAAAAACACTTTTTATAAGACTGCTCTGGATTTTTGATGTGTACCATGGTCCCATTGGTTTATGCCAGTTCCTAACGGATAGTAGTGCTTCTGATTTTAAAAGCTGGTAAAAAAAAAAGTGCTCCTTGTCCCCTCCACATGTGTAAGCCGAGTGCATCTGTCAACAGAAATGTCTCAATACGTGATTTCCTTCTGGGGACAAACACTAGAAAGGCTTCTCCAGCTCATTTACACTGTGTACATGTGCAGTGTGTGCTTTCTTTTTAGCAGCAGCTCCCAAGCACCGATGAGTTTCTGCTGCCATGTCTTAAACGGTTTACACATAAGGAATGGCAAAGAAACACTATTTTTACTGAACCTCACAAAAAAGAAAAAAAAAAGACCCCTTTTACACAAAGATTAAACAGCATTAAAAAGGAATAGCAGAGCAAAGATACAACTGCATACATAACACTATCAATTGAAAAAGGATGACCTATTACAAGAAGGGAACGGACAGTTTTTCAGCAAATATGTTTTTTGCTCCTGGTTTTCCTGTGATATCTTCTTCCAACAGGTGAAGACCAGAGGTCAGCGAGGAAAGAAGACACTCTAAATAATGTAGTAGGTCTCAGACTAAAAATGTTATTCAAATGTCCACCTACTATTCACCTTGATTCTGGATCTTGTTTTATATATCCTTATCTACCATTTCTTTCCTTTGTTTTTTTTCCTCATTTTTAGTTTATTTCAGTACTTCTTGTATTACAATATTTTCCACTTCATTCAAAGTAAATAAGGACACCTCACAATGTTCTGTTTAAAGCCTTTGGGAAAAAAAAAAAACTTTCCTCCCTTTGAAAAAAAAAAAATGTTTACACCTGCACAGGTGGCCTTCAAAAGTATTATATATTATACATTATCACTCTAAATTCAATAAAGAATCTTTCAAGTGAATGTTTACTGGAAAAAAAAACAAGGTCTGATTAATATAACAATATAGTGCTGGAGCATCTTCTCATAATTGGGCTTTTCATATTTGGGTGAGAAAAGTACATTTAGAAACTTCGCTCTTTGCAGGTCTTTTTTCTTAACTGTAGTACCATGTTTTATTATGAACGAGTGGGTGACTATTTTAGATGGACCTTGTTTGTAAGTGCAAGGTCTGCTTTAATAAACTGCAATAATTCTTCACAGTACTTTACAAATGTGTCAACATTTTATTACCAGTAACAATTTGTCTGCATTGAAATTTGTGTACTTAAAAGAACAATGAATAAGGAAAAAGGGAATGAGTGGGTGAATGCAATTATTTCTGAAAGCTTGTCAGGTATGGTAATTATGCAAACGTGTTTTCTTGGCTCTTCAACAGTATGACAGAAGACAACTCTAAAAAAAATTTCAATTATTTACTGTATGTATTAATTAGCAAATTGTGAATCTAAAATGATGGTTTATTCAAACCATGTTACATAAAGTAGTTCTAAATCTAAACTCGGTCACCAAAATCAAATATGAACATACCAATGACATTTTAAAAGCTTTTTTAAATCTATTAAATCTCAGTTTTTCCTAAAAATATCCCCTAGGCCTCCTGCTATCCAGTTCCTTCCTTGGCCTGGCACTTTCTGTTATGGGGAGGTAACTGTCTCCCAATTGTTCTCCTGCGCTGTCAGCCTGTCTCACACATGGTCTTAATGGATACAAGCAGCTGTGCTGACACACCATACACTTGCATTTTCCCATTTTGTCACTTTTGGGAAGCCTGCCTTGAGTAATGTCAACTTGGATATGGACAAGAAGTACCAGCAAAGAGGCTAGGGAAAATCAGTAATGAAAAAAGGGCTGAGAAAATGGAGAAAGCAGAAAAAAAGCAATTATTTATGATATTGAGTGCTGTAACATATGAAAAGTCATCCTGCTAAGGTTTAAATCTACAGTAATACCTCGGTTTACAAATGCCTCGGTTAATGTAATTTTTGGTTTATGAATGAAAATCCATTGAAAATAATGCCTCAGTTTACGATTTTTTTACAAATGTTTTTTTCGCAATACGAAGTGTACGTCAGTGCTGATTTTTAAATGCAATTGCCGACTTTTTTTTTTCTGTTCACTGAAGTTCACAGAATTAGCTGTCACTTTCCCGGGAGTTAACGGAAACTCGGGGAAATAAACTAAAAGAAAACTTTCTTTCTTTTAGCTGGGGGGAAAGTGACAGCTGAATTTCTAAGCTATAATGAGGAAAAAAAAAAGGGGGTAATTACATTTAAAAACCGGCACCATAATAAATTAAAAAAATGGCGTGGGGTCCCCCCTCCCATCCATATCAAGCTCTTCGGGTCTGGTATGGTATTACAGTGTTTTGGCATGGAGGGGGCTGTGAAAACATGAAAAACAAACAAAAAAACAAACAAAAGAAAAGTAACAAGCCAAAAAAAAAAAAATCGGATTTGCATTTTTGGTGTAAAATCCACTCTAAGCACTAAAGGACCCGTAGAGTTATACAGGAGACTTTATTAAGCCTTCAGGACATTTTTAAAAAATCAGTCTCCCCTTCATTCTTTGACTTCTGAGATATCACGTTAGTGCATTATATTGTTGGTTGATTAAGATCTTTGACTGCACAGCAACAAAGCAAAAAGATCACCTTATAAAATGTCATAGAAGAAATCGCTTATAAATCCTGGACAACATTATAAAAAAGAAATCAAATACCAAAGTGACATGTTCAATTAGTATTTGGAGGCCATTTTTGTAATGTTGTAAAAAATCTTAAAAACCTAAACGAAGCAATTTTTTTTTCACTTCAGAAGAGTTTCAATTTCTGTCAGGTTTTGATTTCGGTTTGTGAGCCTTCCACAACCCACTTTACTAGGTACACCTATTCAATTGCTTAGTACCACAAATTGCTAATCATATGACAGCAAACTCAGTGCATTTAGGAACCTAGATATGGTGAAGATAACTTGTTAAAGTTCAAATCAAGTATAAGAATGGGGAAGAAAGGGGATTTAAGTGACTTTGAACATGGCGTGGTTGTTGGTGACAGATGGGATGGTTTGAATATTCCAAAAACTGCTGATCTACTGGGATTTTCACACACAACCATCTCTAGGGTTTGAAGAGATTGGTCCGAAAAAGAGAAAATATGCAGTGAGCAGCAGTTGTGTGAACGAAAATGCCTTTTCGATGTCAAAGGAGAAAGGGCAGACTGGTTTGAGATGATAAAAAGGCAACAGTAACTAAAATAACCACTTTGTACAACCGTAGTATGCAGAATACCATCTCTGAAAGCACAAGTCAAACCTTGAAGCAGATGGACAACAGCAGCAAAAGACCACACCAAGTAGGTATACGTAATAAAGTCGCCGGTGAGTGTATAAAACACTGCCAGGAGTTCTGACCTATCCCTATTCTACTAAATATGTGTTTCTGGTTTTGTTTGTGTCCCCACTGGAGTTTTCCCGATCACTTTCTGTCTAACCGAAGGTAAGGGGAAATCTTTCCAACAATGTGCAATGACAGAGGATCCATCCATCCAAATAAAAATTTAATGTTTTGACTAACATTTAAGGAGATCCAACTGGTTGGAAAATGTGAGCTACTACTGTTTCCTGCTGACCACCACACGCCTAATGGAGACATTGTCCAATGTGTTTTTAACGTTACATATGTATATACGCTGATAAAGGGAGCTGAGGGACCAAGAAGGAATAACCAGGTTTTCTAAAGATATTGTCCGAGCAGTCTGCAATACTACATCCTGTAGGAGAAATATTCCCAGTCATATTTATCTGTGAAACATTTTAAGCAAGCAATATGAAAAGCCTTTGATTTCAATACGCAACACAACCATTGTGGATGAAGAAAATAAAATAGGTTGGACATATTTACTAAATGACCTGTAGTAATGATATCTACAGAGAAAAAAAAAAATACCTGAGGTAAATATTATACGAGTGGAGTCTGATTTTTCTGGCTGGAACTGAGTAACGTTTTTAATAACTTCAGGAAGGTCGAAAACTTTGACTTTCATCTCTGGGTATATCCAAGACAGTTCATGAGCAAGGGCACCAGTGCAGCCTTTATGAAAGAACAATACACAACTACAATTAAGCATATACAATATATTGCCATTATAATTTTCAACAAAGAACACATTTGATTCCATAACATATTAAAGAAAGTTGAAGTAGGATTCACATCCCAACACTGCACTTGTAGAAAACAGAGTCCTGGACCTGTATAGCACCCTGCGGCTAATTACACTAAGGTGAGCACCCAAGCAGGACCCAGTCCCCGAAGCAACATTACAGGCTGTCTCAACAGCATGGAGTCTGGGTACAGTTTCCAAGGTATTACCAAGGTTACAGCAATCAGGATGCACTGCTTCTATTGTTAAAGTAGAAGGTAGTAAAGAGTTTATTGAAGAATCCAATATAAAATAAAGGCAATATAAACTAAACAGGTTAAGCATAGAACACTTCTACAAAGAGGAGAAAAGGTCCATCACTTAGGGACACTAGTACAAAGGACTCAGAGAGTGGGGTGGAGTTATAGGAGTCCACCCGGGAGCATGCCCAGCAAAGCTTTTGCCAATGTCCAATCACCTAAAAGTAGTAACCTATAACTCAGGGTCTATGAAGAGCCTGTGTCCTGTACTGTATGATTAGGACACATTGGTTTTGCTGGGCATTACCGCAATGCCAAAACTGTGGTACATCACAGTGTCATTAATTGACTAGCCTTGCATTATGTTGCACCACAACATACAGGTAGGGACCATCTGTGTCCTGTGTTGTTCTGAACTAAAAAAAAAAAAGCAGTCACAGTTAAAACCCGAATTGTCCTGCATTTACCACCTATTCAAAATGATGTGGAAAATGTACTTAGATATATATTTAAAAAATGTATAAATAAAAATCTGTTAAGGCTTAGCTCACACTACTGCGACTCCATTCTTATGCGACATTCAGTGCACTTGTGTAGTACGAACTCGATGAGACTTTCAGAGTGGCTAGCATATTCTATGGAGCCAAATCGCACCAAAGTTGTACAGAATTTTTTTTCAAAATCGCAATGCACAGAGTTGCACTGATGTGAACCCGCATCATTAAACATATTGCATGCGACTCTGTGTGTCTCAAGTCGTATCAGAAATTGCACCAGTGTGAACCGGGTGTTAGAAAAAAAATCCCTCAAAGATCTACTTGTGCCTCTTTAGAAGTCAATGTGAATCCATACTACATGCATGGCAAAACACATGACAGATGTAGATCAAATGCCCTCTGGATTGCACTACTCAACGTTTACTCAGCAGATCACACTAACAATTTCAAAAGCCAGCCTTATTACAAATGTCAAACACAAAAATAGCCTTGCTGAAAGTGCCACAAAAACAAAAAAGTATAAAGTGTGCCACCACAAAGTCTCGGAATTCTTGGCCATTTTGAACCAGCAAACCTCCCGCACTTAAATTTTTTCTGGAGCTTACCTGCCTCTCCCACACATTCCTGTTGGTCAGTGAGCCAGCCCATAATAGCAATGCACCAATAGGATGTGATGGGAAAAGCCCTGACACTACCAGCATAAAAGAGGAAATTAGAATTGCTGTAGGCACAATTCCAAGTGCATGTTATACCTGTAGCGGAGCTTTATTATTTTTTTTAAAAGGACAATCACCATAATATCTGGTAGGATTTGATAGGAAGAGGAAGATTTCACCAAAACTAGAAGACAGCAGCACAAGGGACACATCACACTGATGGTAAGTAATGCCCTTGTGCTGATTACTAAACTAAGGCTTTAACACATTACAGCTGACTTGCTTGGTTCGTATGGTGGGCACAAGCTAACATCAGCATCTAAAAAAAACAAAAAAAACTAAAAAACTTCAGAGCTGAAAACACAATGGACAGTGCACACCCTCTCTGCATCATTGCTTTGCAACATATTTTCTCCAGTACTATAAAAGACTCTAAATTTAAAGGAAAAGTATAGTGTACTGTCGTTGAGTTTATGGTCATTGCAGGGATTACCTTATCCACTTTTGCAGCCAAACTGGGATAATATCTACTTTATATTTGTTACAGGTTCTCATTCACATAGTAGATCTTAAAGCAGTTCTATGGTCACAGAATACACTTTCATTTTCTAAACTTCAGCATTGTACTAATACACGATTATGGGTGACATTCCAATATAAGCTTACTTGAAAAACTCCTCTCGTTGTGAGTCCTGTCTGTCTGATGGCCATCTCTTTCCACAACTGACTGGATTCCCTGCATGCTTTGCAGCTTATCCTCTGCTGTTTACTGTTAATTTCTAAGGACTACATATCCTATGGTACTGTGCTGCCTGCAAGCCGTGATTCCTGTACTGACCCTGCCTCCTGAAAAGTCTCATTTCAGCACTTCTGTAGTTTAGAAAGCAGGCTCTATGTATGACACAGTAGTGTCTATTCACAGGCCATAGTGAATATGTGTCACAGAGTTCCAAATACATGTGTGGGTATCTTTACAAACTTCAAGATCGTTCAGATTAATAGTAGGCTAGACATAATTGAAATTCAATGTAGAAATATATGATTTTACATTTTGACCATCGCTATGCTTTAAAAAATAAAGACTGCAGCATACACTTTACTTGCTTTTTTCTGAAAATTCCAAAACCAAAGTGAGCAGATTCAATTATCATTTGTGAATTAGATTAAAACACTATCTGTTCTAACACATACATACAGATCCTGAAGCTGGGCTTTTTCATTGTGTGTTAATTGGGGAGGGAGGGGACACTCCCTGTGTCACTTTTGTCAGTGAGAACAGACTACAGCCGGCCATATATAGATTGAATCACAGCCAGTTCAGCAGGGACCGGCTGAGATTCAATCCATCAATGGGAAAGCTGGTTATACTGAAGTTGACCAATCAATCAATTTCAGAACAACCAGCCTGTCGTATTTTTTTTTACGCGATCACTGCTGGCAGTTATGGCCGCCAGCAGTGATCAATGTTTTCTGCCAGCAGGGAAGGCTCCCCACTGAAAGAACACAACAGCGCTGTGGGAGGGATTCCCCCATCAACACAGCCAGAATCTAGCAAGTTTTTGAAAATTGCATAATCTATGGGTTTCTTATGTTTCTCTCAACTCAATGTGTCTATCTTGGGCCTGCACCAAAACATCTAGAATGGTAAGATTTTATTTTTTTTTAATTATTTTTAGATACAGTGAAGGAAATAAGTATTTGATCCCCTGCTGATTTTGAATGTTTGCCCACTCACAAAGAAATGATCAGTCTAAAAATCGAATGGTAGGTGTATTGTAACACTGAGAGACAGAATAGCAACAACAAATTCAAAAGAAATGCATGTCTAACAAATTAAGCACTGATTTGCATGTTCATGGGGGAAATATGTATTTGATCCCCTATCATTCAACAGGATTTCTGGCTACCAGGTGTCTTTCATACAGGTAACAAGCTGAGATTAGAAGCAGTCTCTTAAAAGGAGTGCTGCTAATCTCATATTGTTACCTGTATAAAAGGCACCTGTCCACAGAAGCAATCAATCAGATTCCAAACTCTACACCATGGCAAAGGGCAAAGACCAAAGAGCTGTCCAAGGATGTCAGGGACAAAATTGTAGACCTACAGAAGGCTGGACTGGGCTACCAAACTATCACCAAGCAGCTTGGTGAGAAGGTGACAACAGTTGGTGCAATAATTCACAAATGGAAGAAACACAAAACAACTGTCAGTCTCCCTAGGTCTGGTGCACCATGCAAGATCTCACCTCGTGGAGTGTCAATGATCATGAGAACAGTGAGGAATCATCCCGGAACTACACGTGAGGATCTTGTCAATGATCTCCAGGCAGCACAGTAACCAAGAAAACAATTGGTAACACACTACACCGACAAGGATTGAAATCCTGCAGTGCCCGCAAGGTCCCTCTGATCAAGAAAGCACATGTCCAGGCCCATCTGAAGTTTGCCACTGAACATCTGAATGATGCAGATGAGGACTGGTTGAAAGTGTTGTGGTCAGATGAGACCAAAATCGAGCTCTTTGGCATTAACTCAACTCGCCGTGTTTGGAGGAGGAGGAATGCTGCCTATGACCCCAAGAAGACCATCCCAACTGTCAAACATGGTGGTGGAAACATTCTGCTTTGAGGGATTTTGTCTGCTAAGGGGACAGGACAACTGCACCGCATAAAAGGGACGATGGACGGGGCAATGTACCGTCAAATCTTGGTAAGAACCTTCTTCCCTCAGCCAGGGCATTGAAAATGGGTTGTGGATGGGTGTTCCAGCATGACAATGACCCAAAACACACAACCAAGGCAACAAAGGAGTGGCTCAAGAAGAAGCACATTAAGGTCCTGGAGTGGCCTAGCCAGTCTCCAGACCTTAATCCGATTGAAAATCTGTGGTGGGAGCTGAAAGTTCGAGTTGTCAAACATCAGCCACCAAACCTTAATGACTTGGAGAGGATCTGCCAAGAGGAGTGGGCCAAAATCCCTCCTGAGATGTGTGCAAACCTTGTGGCCAACTACAGGAAAACGTCTGACCTCTGTGACTGCCAACAAGGGATTTGCCACCAAGTACTAAGTCATGTTTTGTGAAGGGGATCAAATACTTATTTTGCTCATGAACATGCAAATTGGTGCATACCGTACTTTCCGGCGTATAAGACGACGCCCTACTTTTCCTGGTAAAATATAGGGTTTGGGCTATACTCGCCGTATAAGACTACCCCTCTTCCAACGTACACCAAATCAAAATTAAAAAACATCAGATTTGATTTTAATATGGTATGGGTATTTCAGTATGGTATTCCAATGATGGGGTGCTATTCCTCCCACTGACACCAATGATGGGGCACGATTCCTCGCTCTGACACCAATGATGGGGCACTATAAATTTTTCACTACTGACAGTGAAAAATTTGACTGCAAATGGGAAAATGCAATGCAAAGTAATTTTTTTTGCATTTCTACATGCCTGATCTTCCTCTTTTCTGTTATGGTATTTAATACAGAGATCTGTAGATTAGCAACTAGAGGAATCTAACATTTCTAACATTTTCAGCTGATTGGCCAACTCATGGGGGTATATTTATAAAGCAGTTAATCTCTTTCAAGAAAATTGATCTCTAAAATGTATAGCTAAAATAAATAAATAAAAAATACAACCAATTCTCAGGCAGATAAGAAAAAGCAACTCAGTATAGATAACCTTCCCATTTTTAGGCACCAACAGGTTTGATAAAAGCATGACTGAAGTTATGTACAGTGCATCCAGAAAGTATTCACAGTGCTTAACTTTTGCCACATTTTGTTATGTTACAGCCTTATTCCAAAATGGATTAAATTCACGGTTTCCTCAACATTCTACAAACAATGCCCCATAATGACAACATTAAAGAAGTTAGTTTTGAAATCTTTGCAATTTATTAAAAATAAAAAATGAAAAAAACCACATGTACATAAGTATTCACAGCCTTTTTGCAATACTTTGTTAAAGCACCTTTAGCACCAATTACAGCCTCAAGTTATTTTGAGGCACAAATATTTTTGGTCGATTTCTCCCAGTCTTCTTTGCGGCACCTCAAGCTCCATCAGGTTGGTGCACAGCCATTCTCGGATCTCTCCAGAGATGTTTAATTGGGTTCAAGTTGGGTTCTGGCTGGGCCTCTCCAGGACATTCACAGAGTTGGCCCATAGCCACTCCTTTGTTATGTGAGCTGTGTGTTTAGGGTCGTTGTCCTGTTGAAAGATGAACAGTCTCCCCAGTCTAAAGTCCAGAGCACTCTGGAACAGGTTTTCATCAACAATATCTCTGTACATTGCTGCAATCATCTTTCCTTCGATCCTGACTAGTCTCCCAGTTCCTGCTGCTGGAAAAAATCCCCCAGCATGATGCTGCCACCACCATGCTTCACTGTAGGATGGTATTGGCCAGGTGGTGAGCAGTGCCTGATTTCCTTCAGACATGACATCTGGCATTCAGGCCAAAGAGTTCAATCTTTGTTTCATCAAACCAGAGTTTTGTTTCTCATGGTCTGGGAGTCCCTCAGGTGCCTTTTGGCAAACTCCAGGCGGGCTGCCATTTGCCTTTTACTGAGGAGTGGCCTCCGTCTGGCTACTCTACCCATACAGGCCTGATTGGTTGAGTGCTGCAGAGATGGTTGTTCTTCGGGAAGGTTCTCCTCTCTCCACAGAGGAACACTGGAGCTCTTTCAGAGTGACCATCGGGTGGTTGGTTACCTCCCTGATAAGGCCCTTCTCCATCGATCGCTCATTTGGCCGGGCGGGCGGCCTGCTCTAGGAAGATTCATGGCTGTTCCAAACTTCTTCCATTTACGGATGATGGAGGCCACTGTCATCATTGGGACCTTCAATGCTGCAGAAATGTTTCTGTACCTTTCCCCAGATCTGTGACTTGATACAACCCTGTCTCGGAGGTGGGAACAGGATGCACCAAAGCTCAGTTTTGAGTGTCATGGCAAAGGCTGTGAATACACATGTACACTTTTTTTTTTATTTTTAATAAATTGCAAATATTTCAAAACAAACAACTTTCACGGTGTCATTATGGGGTATTGTTTGTAGAATGTTGAGGAAAAAAAATTAATTTAATCCATTTTGGAATAAGGCTGTAACATAACAAAATGTGGCAAAAGTTAAGCGCTGTGAATACTTTCTGGATGCACTGTATAAAATATATACAGCCTGCTACATGAACCACCAGGATGGTACAGAGACAGAACATAAAACATACCTCCTAAATCACATGCAGTACTGTACTTGGAAAGGTCAAAAGCTGTTGCTACATCTCTTGCTGTTATTTTAAGCGTGCAATGCATGGCCCTCATATAACGCTCCTTGACTTCAGGTCCCTGGTAATAAACAAAAATTTAAAAAAATGGAATTATATAAGCATGCTAGCAGACAACTGGGATCTTTATTATAAAATTTGATCACTATACATGTTAACCTTTACATTAGCTTCATCACAAGCAAGTCAACACACAACTAATTGGTTGTAACCATTTAACAGATTGGAATCAACGTGGAACTGTCAAAACCTCTTGGATGGAGTAGGGAAAGTTGCTCTATTTGGATTTTATTGCTATCTGTGTCCCTGTTGGAGAGAACCATCTTAACTTCATGTCCTGGTAGCCACTACTACCAGAAAGAAGTTCAGATCCAAAAAAGTATAATCATTATTCAGAGAGAAACCTTCAAAATTTTTGTTTTTCTTGTGAACCTAAACAAAGCTGATATGATTCTCAAGATCATCCTCTGCTGCACTCTAGTGGTACAAGAAATACTGCAATACACTAAACCTCTCACCTATCACAATATGTAGGAGAAAGAAAAACATACAGAATAAAAGATTTGTTTCAAAATGTTAGGGCAGTAAAATAATTGCTTTTTATTTGTTAAGTATTGTGTGCAAAACCTTCTGAATCTTTCACAAGGACTACAAAACATAAGCCCAGTAAACTAGGTCTGTCATCTATCAAAGCTTTTTTTGTTTGTATTACGGACAAAGAAAAGAGATAAAGAATAAAAAAAATTAAAAAAAAAAAGGATTGAAAAAGCCAACACACTGAAAGAGATTATAAAATGGCATATACAAGTATATACAGTACTTACATGCACATGTTCAGCTGTTTGTCCATGGGCTTTATGGTGATAGTTTATTCCTTCTACTACTGCAGACTCCAGGTGGGTATAATGGGACCACAGATGGTCATTAGAGTGAATGATGTAACCGTGAACTGAAAATTCAGCATCGGATACCAGAAAGGTGTTAGCTAACTCCGTATTACTATATACTGTAAGAACAAAAAATAAAAAAAAATGAGTCTATACCTGTACAGCACTGCCAAATTTCTGTTTCTTTTAAATATATTTTTGTCATATGATAGCAGCAGAAATGTCAAGTAACATACAAATATAAGATTTATATAGATATCGGATATAAAAAGTCACTACATATGAGACAAAAGAACGTTAATGTTAAATGCCATTTACACAGATTACATAATATGGGCTACAATGACAAATACCTAAACACCTAGGAAACCTAACATAAGTATAGTGTACACTTTCTTTAGACTGTTTGGGTATAAGCTAGGGATGCACTGATGCTGATACCAGTATTGGTATCAGTGCCAATACGGAGTATTTTCACGAGTACTCATACCCGTGAAAATGCTCCCAATACACGAAAGTGATACTTTGTGTCAATACAAAAAGGTATGGAAACAAATTGTACCACAAAGAATAGCATGTGATTTGAACAGGAATGCGAATCCTGCCCAAATCACATGCAGTTTGCCCTCTGCTCCTGTGTGAATCCAGGCTTGTCACAGACTGAGTTCACACAGTAGTGGTGCGGGAAATCTCCCTGCACCGATCCCATGCTGAGTGGAAAGTGGGAGAGAAGGGATTGTGGGGATGTATACCCTTGGTGGCAGATGCTCTGGATTCTCAGCTGTAGGAGCGGAGAGAAAGCCGCAAGTTTTTTAAATTCCTGTGGCTCTCTCTCCTCTCATTGCAGGGAAGACAGTACGGGCTAGATGGCTTTTGATGTCAGCACCGTCACATAGACATTGCTGACCAATCAGAAGCTATCTAGCCCATACTTTCTTCCCTGCAAGGAGGAGAGAAAACTGCAGGGATTTCAAATCTCCAGACCTGTGAAGCAGCTCTCTCTCCTCTCCTTGCAGCATTGACAGTATAGACAGCTTCTGATTGGTAAGCACCATCCATATATGACAGTGCTGACCAATCAAAACTCGTCTAGCCCATACTGTTATCCCTGCAAGGAGAGGAAAGAAAGGAGTTCAAATCTCAGTGGATCTCTCTCCTTCTACAGCTGAGAATCCAGAGCATTGCAGCAGCTTTTTCTCCTCTTCTACTGCTGAGTATCCGGAGCATCTGCCTCCATCTGACACCAAGGTCTACAATCCCACATGCCCTTCTCTCCCACTCTCTAATCAGCATGGGATCGGTTCAGGGAGGTTCCCGCACCACTCTTGTGTGAACTCAGGCTATGACAAGTGGGGAAACTGCATGCAATTTGGACAGGAATCGCATGCTATTCTTTAAGGTCCGATTTGCGTCCATACATTTTGTACATATATATTGACGTAAATTGCAACGCAAAGTATCGGTACTCGGTATCGGAGTGTATCTGACCGAAAGTATTAGTACTCGTGCTTGCCGATCCAAAAAGGGTATCAGTGCATCACTAGTATATAAGCAATAGCTATGTACAAACATATAGTATTAATATACAAACATATAGTATAGAGTATTAATGAAGATTTTTTTTTTTTCAGGTACTGAAACAGTCTATGTACTATAAATATAGAACCAAAGATAATCATACATTCAACATACAATTGATATTCTGAAGCCAAGATGACAATCCATAACTATTTTGGGTCACGTCTTGTTTGTCATGTTTTTTAAATATGTACTAATTGCTAAAGATTCATTACTAAGAGATGGGACACAGGCTTTCTAACTTGAAGAGTCTATGCCTAGAAACAGTGTTTATAGGTGTATTCCAGCATCGCCTAGTAAAGCTAGACAGGCTCTTCACCTGCCCTGAAATGGTTTACACTAAATGAACTTCACACTATGAGCTCTCCAGTTTTGTTGCCCCTGGTAAGTCCCTTTCATTTACTGGACCTCAGTTCTTTCAATGACAGAGGCTCAGCAATTCATGTGGACATTATCTAGGGTGATCTGGATTCAAATACAACCAGTCAAGGAATACCCACTTCTCCAGGCAGACATCTACCCATCAAGGCATTTTGAGATTTGTATAACTCTTCCCAAAAGCTAGCTTGAATACTGAGGGTATGTGCTATATTGTTTTTAGGAGACTATGTAGAGAAACCTTCTGGCCCCTCCCATTAGCCATTATTCGACTGTATTGCATAGAAAAACACAGAGACCCAGTTATGATCATAACTAGCCAGCTGGATCTAGATTACCCAACGATCTTGACCTTGTCTTGAGAAAAGTTATTTTTTTTCTCCCTTTAGAACCTTGATCTTTGTTCCTTTAAAAATCATCTTCTAACAGGCTTGTAGCAAGAAGTTTACATGACCCAACACAGAATAAAAAAAAAAGTAAAGCAAATGTTTAACATCCTCAGAGGACTTTCTCAAAGAGGTCTTGCCTGTATTCAGAAAAAAAAAAATGCTGCTCCAGGTCAGTCTGCTTGTTAACACCCCATACACTTGCCAATCAGGTACTAGCCCAGCTTGCAAGCCAATCAGTATATGGAAGAAAATTCCGGGGTGGCAGCACACCGATAGATCCACTTTATTGATTAAAAAAGGTCAGCAGAACTTTACCCATAACAAATTGATAAAAAAATAATGTTCTTTAGTAAGGAACAGACATTCCACTTTAATAATTATGCTACAAAAAATTAGTGTGTGTTGTAAATTACCTCCAACATTGCTCCTGCTTCTTCTTGCTGGAGACTGCCATTTTGCTGAAGGCAAAAGCCCCTGAGCAGCATTAAATCTTCAGGCTATCAGCAGATCAGCCTCCAAAAATTTGGCAAAGTACCAAAAAAAAGAGAGCAACTGAGCAGATCAGGGTGAGACAAAATATTACTGGATCATAAGGGTACACTGCCCAATTTCACCAAATCATCATTTTTATACATATTGTCCAACTCAAAGATGTATAAACTTAAATACCTATTGGACTTAGGCATATCAGGTGATGTGTATTTGTGTAATGAGAGAGGGTGTGGTCTAAGGAGATCAACACCCTATATCAAGGTGTGCATATTTATTAGCCAGCTTCTTTACCTCAGGCAAAATGGGCCAAAAAAGAGATTTAACTGACTTTGAAACGTAACAAATTATAAAAAGTCTTTCAGAGGGATGCAGCACTCTTGAAATTGCTAAGCTATTGGGGTGTGATCACAGAACCATCAAATGTTTTGTTGCAAACAGTCAACGGGGTGGCAAGAAATGTGTTGAGAAAAAAAAGATGCAAATTAACTGCCAAAGATTTGAGAAGAATCAAACGTGAAACTACCAGGAGCCAATTATCCTCCAGTGCTGTCATATTGCAGAACTGCAACCTTCCTGGAGTGCCCAGAACTACAAGGTGTTCAGTGCTAAGAGACATGGCCAAGATAAGAGAGGCTGAAACCCAACCAACATTGAAGAAGACACACAAGTTGAAACGTCAAGACCGGGCCAAAAAATATCTGAAGACAGATTTTTCAGTGTTTTATGGACTGATTAGATAAGAGGGACTCTTGATGGACTAGGTGGATAGCCCCGTGGCTGGATCAGTAACAAGCACAGAGCTCCACTTCAACTCAAACGCCAGCAAGGTGGAGGTGGGGTACTAATATGGACTGTATTATTAAAGATAAGCTAGTTGAACCTTTTTGGGTTGAAGATGGACTCAAAATCAATTCCCCAAACTACTGACAGTTTTTAGAAGACACTTTCTTCAAGCAGTGGTACAGGAAAAAGTCAGCATCTTTCAAGAAGACCATGATATTTATTCAGGACAATGCTCCATCACATGCATCAAAGTACTCCACTACATGGCTAGCCAGTAAAGGCCTTAATGATGAATGAATAACGACATGGCCCCCTACCTCACCTGATCTAAACCCTATTGGGAACTCGTTGGCCCTTCTTAACCGCTTCCCACCCATGGACTGCGGACAGGCAGTAGCTGCAGACAAAGCGACGTACCCATACGTCGCTTTGCTCTTCCGGGTTTAGAGCTTGCATGCGCACGCCCTCCCCTCCACTGTCATTCATTGTAGGAGGTGTATGTTAGCAGGTCTTGGTCAGTGATTTTGGCTGGGACTCTGCCGATCTCCTACAGCGAATGGAGATGCAGATCTGTGCCTGTATTTGTAAACACAGGCACAGGATCTAGCTGGTTCTTCTCTCCCTGGAACCATTTTGTTCCAGAGAGAGAAGAAAGACATCGCACGTGAGTAAAAGCAGCACCCTGTACTCACACACGTTAGATAGAGACATTTTAACCCCTTGATTGCCACATTTAACCCTTCGATTGCCCCCTGCCAGTGCCATTAGTACAGTGTCAGTGTACAGTATTTTTCACTGATCACTGTATTAGTACCACTAGCAACGTCATTTAGCATCAGGATCAGTTAACATCCCTCCCAGCTAGGGTCAGCTAGCAATAGATTGCCCGCATACTATCGCACTCACGCTATAGGTCGCTGATCACCGTCATTACTAGTATAGTGTTTGTACGGATCAATATATTGATCACGAACAAAACTATACCAGTGCCCCTTTAGTATTAGTGTCCCCAAAAAAACAGTGTTAGCAGGATCATCCCCGTTCGCTGCCAGCACTAGCGTTCAGCCCCAACGCTCCCCCCCACGCCTAACAAGAAGTTCAATGTCAATAGAATTTCTGATCACTGTCACTTGTAATACATTGCACATAAAACCGCAGTGTTCACAGAATCAGGCCTGATCTCGGTTAGCACTTGCCGGTAAATTTTTCTGTAGCGGTTCAAGCAGTCTGACAGCCAGGTGCTTTTTTTCCCGTGAGTCGCACTAGGTACCTGTAAATTTAGAGTCCAAAATGTCCAAAGAAAGGTACACCAGTGAAGAGGCCTACAAGATTCTGAGCATGTCAGGTGAGAGCGAAGGGGAAGACTCCCTGACACAATCAGCCTCAGAATACAAACCTGTAGACCGCAGTGGCACCCTGACAGGTAGCTCGGACGATGGAGAAGAGGTCCCTGTTAACCACTTGCCTACCGGGCACTTATACTCCCCTTCCTGCCAAGGCCAATTTTCAGCTTTCAGCACTGTCGCATTTTGAATGACAATTGTGTGGTCATGCAACACTGTGCCCATATTAAATTTTTATCATTTTTTTTCACACAAATAGAGCTTTCTTTTGGTGGCATTTAATCACCACTGGATGTTTTAGTTTTTGTGCTATATACAAAAAAATAGCAAAACATTTGAAAGAAAAAAAAAAGTTTTTGTTTCTATTATAACATTTTGCAAACAGGTAATTTTTCTCCTTCACTGATGTGCGTTGATGGGACTCCACTGACGGGCGGCACTGATGATGCACTGATGGGCGGCACTGATGGGCACAGGTGGGTGGCACTACTAGGCACTGCTGGGTGGCACTGCCAGGCAATGATTATCAAGGGCACTAATCATCAGTGCCAACTACTTCTCTGACAATTGCCGGTTATCGGCAGTACTTTCCTCACTCTGTGACAGCGTGAGGAAAGTGCAGCGATAACCGGCAACTGTACTTACTCGGTGATCTGCTGTGTCATTGGACACAGCTAATCATGTGGTAAAAGGCTGCTGTGATTGGCCATTTACCATATCACTTGAAAAGCTGTGTTCGTAGGACAAAACGATCACCAGCGGCGCCGGGTGTGCGGCACTGGGGGCGTGTTCTGGGAGGACGTTTATGGACGTCCTCCCAGAACTAGACAACCGCGCTGTAGCCGTCTTTTGGCTATAGCGCAGAAGGGAAGAGGTTAAGATCAGGAGTACCCGACCCCATGAAGCTGAATAGGATCTAGGATTGCATGACTTGTCTCATATGCAGCAGAGTGTCAGTACCAGTGCCACACTACCTTCTGATGAACTGGTGAGCACCAGCGGCCTAGTATATCCTGGTCTTTTTTATACCAGCACTGCAGTATCAATTGGTGATGTGGCGAGTCCCATAAGTGCAGTACAAGCTGGTGCGGTGGCGAGCACAAGTAGTGTCCCGCAACTACCAAGAATTCGCACACAGGCCCGTAGAGCCCCTAGTGCCTTCTGGACATGCTTGTAAATCTTAATTGGCAGCCCACAGATTCTGCAGCACTCGTACTTCCCCCATTCACTGCCTAACCCGGAATTCAGGTGGAAACAGCAAATTTAACTGCCCTTGATTTTATGGAGCTGTTTTTTTACAGAAGATTTGTACAATTTGATTGTGGGCCAAAGCAATTTATAAGCTCAACAATATATTGCCAAAAACCCAAATTCAAACCTTGCCAGACCATTCGCATGGAAACCCATTACAGTTTCTGAATTTAAAACTTTTTTTGGCCTAACCCTCAACATGGGCATTCCAAAAAAGAATGAGTTGCGGTCATATTGGTCTACAGACCTGATTCATCACATGCCCGTGTTTCTCTGCTGCCATGACCAGGCATACATATGACACGATAATGCGCTTCATGCATTTCAGTGATAACACACTCTGTAATCCTCAGGGTGACCCTGAACATGACAGGCTCTACAAAATGTGGCCCCTCATAAACCCCCTCACTCAGAAATTTGCAGATGTGTATACGCCCCAGAAAAACATCTGCGTGAATGAGTCCCTCATTCACTTTACTGGCCGTCTTGCATTCAAACAGTACATCCCCAGCAAGCGTGCCAGATATAGGGTCAAATTGTATAAGCTGTGTGAGAGGGCCACAGGCTATACGTACAAATTTAGGGTTTATGAGGGAAGAGACAGCGAAGTAGAGCCTCCCGACTGCCCAGACTACATGGGGAGCAGTGGCAAGATAGTTTGGGACTTGGTGTCGTGGTTGTTCCGTAACAAGTACATAGACAATTTGTATACAAGCGTGTCTCTATTTAGACATTTGTACAATCTTGGAATTGGCTCATGTGGCACCGTGCAACCTAATCGCCGGGCCTTCCCCCAACTTCTTGTAAACACCCAACTTAGAAAGGGGGAGAAAGCCTTCTTGAGGAATGATGAAATGCTTGCAGTGAAGTGGAAAGACAAATTAGATGTTTTCATCCTGTCTTCCATTCAAGCAGATGCGACAGTCCAAAATAACACAGTATCTAGCGTTGTTGAGAAACCCATTATAGTCCACGACTATAACCTTAACATGGGAGGGGTGGACTTCAACGACCAAATGGTGAATCAGAAATCATCAGAGCCCTTTTGTATCCAGGAAGTGCTGTGGCCCAATCCTCAAATCCAGATGCAGTTAGCGGGCTGCATGAGAGGCATTTTCCAGATGTCCTCTCTGATACGAAATAAGACGCAACACTCGCTTTTTTTGTCCCTCCTGTCCTGGCCAAGTTGGTCTCTGCCTCAAGGACTGCTTCCGTCACTACCATACAATAGTGGAGTATTAGTATAGGGAACAGCACGGCACAGTTCAGGGAACATATTTACACAGGGTGTCAAAAGATTTTCGGTAGTCAGGAAACCGGCTATTGCATTTTGAGAGACCCTTCAATCTGTTTTCAAAATTTAAATTTTAAATAAATAAATAAAAAGTTCAAGTCCAAAAAAATAATAATTAAAAACCAAACAGTTATAGTTTTTTTTTTTTGTTGTTACTGCTCTACTGTTACGATTTTACTGTTTTATTGTTAACCATTGCTGTTTTCTTTGCAGGAATATCAGTCAGTGCTGCAGCACCGACTTGTTTATTCTGATAGCAACAGGGTCTTGCTCTCAAAATATACATAAGTATGTGTGTGCAGTGCTGCTGGATGATATTTTTCATCCGCAGTTTCATCCGCCGAAGCATGGGGGCCTGGGGTGGCCAGTGGGTGGATGGCCCCTATGCTTCAGCATATATATTTTATAATATTTTTTGGCACATTTCATGTGTGCCCACCATTACAAGTGGGTGGATGCAGGGAGGTGTATTCGAATGGTGGGCATACCACACAATTTGTGGCAGAGATTTCTTCTCTTTTTTTTCATCCAGCCCACAGGCTGCATAAAAAAAAAAAGAACATAGCATATGACCCCTATGCTTCGGCATAAATATTTTATAATTTTTTTGGCACATATTTCAATAAAAATGTTGTTTTTTATTGAGTTACGGTTTTTTATTTTTAACCATTGCTGTTTTCTTTGCAGGAATGTCATTCAGCTGCAGCACCGACTTGTTTATTCTGATAGCAACAGGGTCTTGCTCTCAAAATATACATAAGTATGCAGTGCTGCTGGATGATATTTTTCATCCACAGTTAAAAAAAAAGAGCATATATGCCGAAGCATGGGGACCTGGGGTGGCCAGTGGGTGGATGGCCCCTATGCTTTGGCATATATATTTTATAATATTTTTTGGCACATTTCATGTGTGCCCAGCATTAGAAGTGGTTTGATGCAGGGCAATATATTCTAATGGTGGGCATACCACACACTTTTTCTGGCAGAGATTTCTTCTCTTTTTTCATTCAGCCCACAGGCTGCATAAATTTTAAAAAAAAAAAACAAAAAAAAAAAAACATAGCATATACATCCAAGGACCAGCGACTTAGTGGTATGGACAGCAGCCGCCATCTTGGTACTCCCACAACCTCTACACCTTTCCTGAAGTTTTTTACTGCAAGAATTTTGCCTGTTTTGGTCTGCAGACCTATTTTAAATGTGGGTAGTTATTTCTAGATGTTATTTTAAATAATGTTTGTGACATATTACATTATGGGAGTCTTCTTGCTTGCATCTTCCATGTGAGGCATTGTAGAAGACAGAGGTCTGCGGCCATTGCTGCAGCATGCTTATGAGTGTTTGTCGGCACCATTGGAGATGATCCTTGGCTCTCTGATTGTGTCGAGGATCTTTCTCCTGGAAATCATCGTTTTGAGGCATTCTATGCTTTGCGACTCCTTGTGAGTCGAATTTTGAAGGTGAGCAGGCACGCTAGTCGGTGGATTTGACCATATATGTTTGCAGCACTGGATCTGTCACGGTATGCACTGAAGATTCACTGAATTTTTTTTCAGATTTTTTGGGACTGTAATTTTCCTTTTAATTTTTTTTTTCTCATCGTTTTTCATTTTTTGGGACTGAGTCACTTTTTGATGTTTTTTGGAGTGAGTCGCTTATCCATTATTTTTGATTGAGTATTCTGGGACTGCGTCACTTTTTTGTATATATCAGCGTTTGATTTATTCACTTATGTCACTAGCACTTCTTAGCCGGTTTGTTTTCGCTGGCGTGATCACTTATGAAGTATTTTTGATCGTCCATCTTGGGATTGAGTCACTCTTTGTATATATTAGTTATTGTTTTATTCACCTGTGTCACTAGCACTTCATAGCCAATTTCCTGCGGCTGGCACTGTCACTTGGTATTTTTTGCACTACCTTACTAATTTATGCTATGTTTACACCGGGTTGAGAGTTATATTTTTATCTAGTTTATGTAATTCATAATTAATTGGCCAATATATTGTGTTTTTGTGCATTAAAAGTAAAAAAAGTATTTGTTTCTTTTTAAATTGCGTTTGAAAAATCGCTGTGTGAGTACTATGCACCCACCATTTTATTCACTAGGGTGTCTGCTTTAAAAAATATATAATGTTTGGGGGTTCAAAGTAGTTAGTAATAAATAATTCCTATAAAAAATATACAGATTTTTTTCATGGGAACAAAAAGTGTCAGAAAAGGCTTGGTCTTCAGGTCTTAGAAAAGAGATCACAAAAAAATTGTCAAACTATTTATTGCTCACACATAGGTATATATGGAATTACTCCCCAAAATACATTCTGCTACTTCTCCCGAGTGTGGGGATACCACATGAGAGACTTTTTGGCAGTCTAGCCAAGTACAGGACCCCAAAATCCAATAAGCACCTTCAGACTTTTAAAGGGCTTTATTTCTTCATTACACCTCCTGACTACTTATCACAGCTTCGGAGGCCCCGAAATGCCAGGATAGCACCAAACCCCCCAAATGACCCCTTTTTGGAAAGTAGACACCCCACGGAATTTGATAAGAAGCATGGTGCGTATTTTGCAGATCTCGTTTGTTGCCACAAGTTTTTGGAAAATGAAGAAAACAAAAACATTTTTTCTTTTCTTTTATATTTCAAAACCTTGTGAGAAAAAATGAGATCTGTAAAATACTCACCTTGCCTCGTATTAAATTCCTTGAGGTGTCTACTTTCCAAAAAGAGGTCACTTGGGGGGGGGGTGGTTTGGTGCTATCCTGGCATTTCAGGGCCTCCGAAATTGTGATAGTGAGGAAGTGAAATGAGCAGTTATGCACCTTCAGGCTTTCAAAGTGTCATTGGATGTCAGGCTCCTTTATGTGGCTAGGCTCCCAAGTCTCAAACATGTGGTATCCCCATACTCGAAAAAGTAGCGGAATGTATTTTGGGGTGTAATTCCACATATACCCATGGCTTGTGTAAGCAACATATCATTTAAGTAACAACTTTGTGTAAAAAAAAAAAAAATTATATATATTATATATATATATATATATATATATATATATATGTGTATGTGTGTGTTTTTGTCATTTTCCGAAGACTTGTGGAAAAAAAAAAAAAAAATCTTCCATGGACTCAATATGCCTCTCAGCATATAGCTTAGGGTGTCTACTTTCTGAAAATCGGTCAATTGGGGGTGTTTGCACTGTCCTGGAATTTTAGCACCTGAAGAAATGTGATAGGTAGTCAGAAAGTAAAAGCTGTGTAATTCCATTATCTATACCATAGTTTGTAGATGCTATATCTTTCACACAAAGCAATCAATATACACTTATTGGGATTTTTTTTACCAAAAACATGTAGCAGAATACACATTATGGCTTAAATGACATTATGATGACATTTGAGTTTTTTGGATATTTTTTTATGACAGAAATGAGAAAATATTGTTTTTTTTTTTCAACATTTTCTGTCTTTTTTTTGTTTATAGTGTGAAAAATAAAAAGTTCACAGGTGATTAAATATCACCAAAAGAAAGCTCTATTTGTGCGAAAAAAGGACATAAATTTCATTTATGTGCCATATTGCATGACCGTGCATTTGTCAGTTAAACTAGCGCAGCGCTGTATAGCAAAAAATGGTGTAAATTGCAGTATCTATACCATAGTTTGTAGATGCTATAACTTTCACACAAAGCAATATACAGTTA